CTCAGCCCGTGACACCGAACCACAAGGCTCCCCTCCGGTAGCGCCGCTTCTGAGGTGTTAGCGCTCGTAAAAACTCCTCGGAGATGCCTGTCGTGTACTGCCCACCGATAACCTCGCTGGTCACCGTCGACTCGCGTACGCTGACTGAAGACCTCCCCCATCCACGCCCACATCCCGCGTACGTTTTTACGTCATCGGTGTGTGCGACGAACCCGAACGGATTGCCCGGAATTACCCCGACAGACCGCTGGCCCTATGCATGACCAGCCCAGCCCGGCCATATTGTAACGGCCTGCTGCTGCGGAGTGCGGCGAGCCGCGGGACACCGGTGGCTTGATCGATTCCGGCGACAATGCGGGCTTGTACAAACATGCATCATTCCGCCCCCGCCCCCCTCTCCTCTCCTCTCCCCCCCCCCCCCCCCCCCCCGTTGGCAAACGGCTCTCAGACTGATGTCAAGCGCAGGACAATGCAGAGGACTGCGCGTGGAGAGCCGGCTTTGACATCGATCGCCGGTCTTATCTTGCGAGCTGCACGTGGGCAGGGAGGGCTCTTGATGGCCTGTCACCAGCAGACCCACACAGCTGCCGCAGACGCATCCACAACTGCTGCCGTCCGCCGCAGCTCGCCGCCGGATCGTGTCCCGCACCGCCGCTCCGCGTATTCCACCAAGACCGGCCGTTCCGGAAATTAAATGATCCAATCCGAGCCAAATTGAGTTCGCTGATTGGCGTCAGTATTTGCCGGCGCCGGTGGCAGGTCTCTCCGGGACCGCAATAATCTGAGCGCCGCCCGGCGTGACGTGACGCGCCCTCCCGTCACGCCTCGCCGTCACGACCCAGCGGCGTGAGATAGACCCGTCACAGGGCCGGGTCATCCCACACGACGCCGTCCGCTGACGCCCCGGCTGTAGCGCGCAAGTCACGGAAAACGCGCCGCCCACTGCAGCTTCTCTTCGCGAGATTGAGTAATGACCGGGTCTCGTTTCTCACAGTCGATAGATCACGTCGCGGCGCTGCCCGGGTGTGCACAGTCCCCCACGCTCCACACTCGCCGGCGCGGAGGGGCCGGGCTGGAGCTGTCACCAGCGGCGACGCGTGACTGCCGGGTCACGTCCGCGCTTCGGCCCGGGCACGGCTTAGCCGGCGCCGTGCCGCAACCACCGGAGAGCCAGTGGCGTGAGCCGGCCGGCCCCGGCGCCGCCCCGGCTCCGGAGCCTGTGGCGTGAGCCGGCCGGGCGCAGCGCCACCTTGGCTCCGGGCCTTTGGCGGGAGCCGGCCGGCCCCGGCGCCGCCCCGGCTCCGGAGCCTGCGGCGGGAGTCGGCCGACCGCCGTGCCGCCCCGGCTCCGGAAACGTTGCCGCGCGGGCTGCTGCCGCCCCCGGGACTTTGGGGCGCCCGGAAGCGGTGATGTCGCCTGAGAGGACCTGAGGTCAGGGTCGGGGGTGCGGGGTGTAACGCCACTCGGATGTTGTGAGGTCTCAGAATAGGCAGGTGTGACGTCCCCCGGGCATTGTGAGGTCCCTTGGAGGCCATGACACCATGAGGCTGTAAGGCCATGAGGCTGTAAAAATTGCCGCGGGCGGATGGAAAGCCCGCGCGACGTAAGACCATTCCCGCGGGTATCGTGGCACCCCGCCCAACAATGCCGGGCGTGCGCATGAGTAGTTCTGATGGCCGGTGGGGAGTAAAAGTGGCCAGGTATTTGTATTTCCCAGTGAGCCGCCGTGCAGCCCGCGGGCGATAAGGGGTGTCTAGACTTCGTGACGCCTGGCAGGCGGTTGTTGTATCGATCGTTGTTCCGGCACAGGTTTCGTTTTGTGAAGGCGAATCAGGGACGCAGTTTCGCAAAATAAGTCCTGGGGGGGGGGGGGGGGAATAAGCGGGAAACTGGCTAAACCGTACCCAAACCTGCAACAAAAGTATTTCTCCCCGGATTCGACCCACTCTCTTCCCAAAGTTTGGCCTGCAGCTCTCTTCCCCCGCCCCTTCTGAACAGTAAACCACGTCCCCGCGGCAGATCCTCATGATTCTCGCGTAGGGGTCCCTGAGATATCACGGCAGCAGTTGACACGCCGGCTGCATATGAAATGACGTGCCATGAGACGTAGCCTCAGCCCCTAGAACACGCACACACCGGGAGAGTAGCGCTGCCATGTTTGGTTCCAATACCGACGCGCGTTTCGACGGTCTGACGGCCAGCTTTGCCGCCGGAGTGGCGGCGGCCGTGCCTTTGTGTGCCGGGCTGGCCACTGCGGCGCCACATGGGTCGTCTCAGGCCCCTGTTGACTCAGACTCTTCTCGGAAAGCCTGCCGCCGGATGTGCCGAGCCCAGAACGCCAGCCCGCGCAGCTCATTCGGAAAGTTCCCGAAAGTCATGGCGAGCGGTCGGCTGAAAGGCCCGCGGCAATCTAAGGCCGCCGGCACGGGCGTTAGCCCCGCCTGTCGGCAGGCCGGGCCGTGCTCATCGGCGGCTTGTCCAGCCGCCAACTTCCCGCATCGCATTTGCCGAGGTTTGCGCCAGCGCGATGGGGCACTAGGCTTGGTTAAGTGCAGCATGCCGACAAAACGGCGCGGCCAGACTTCCCAGTCCAATTCAACAGAGTGGTGAAGTCTGCATGGTTAATGAGGATGGGCATTTGCATTCGCGTTCGAGTAACGTAGCCGGGCGGTAGCACCATTTCCCGCATGCGGACGGGTGTTCCGACAAGAGAGTGGCGTATCCTACAATCAACATTTCACGCTTAAAACGCTGCAATACAAAACGACGGCGAGCCATGCTCGCTGAACGATCGAGCGTTATATCATTGACCCTTTGAACCCGTTTGCGGAGTAAATTTCTACCAGTCCACGTTTATTAATAATACTTGCTTCGTTATACTAATAGGTACCCGGACGACCGTCCAATAGGTCACATTTTACATTTGAAACGCGCGGTATGAATAACCGCATTGGACATAAATTGTGCATGTCGTGTTGCGTTGTGCGCATGCGCATATATATATATATATATATATATATATATATATATATATATATATATATATATATATATATATTCAAGTGTTACCTGGAAGTTCAAATATCATCATTGTAGAAGCATTCCTGTACCTCCGCGTTCTTTGACCGTTGTTCGTAAAGGTGATCTTTGCAGAAAAAGTACAAGCATTCATTTCTTAATCAACGTGCGACGGATCTAGCCAAGTGACACGATCTGTGATAAGTGCTTGGCTCCGGGTGGCATCCTGTGAATCAAGTGACGTCCGGGTGACGTCCTGCGCATCAAATCAAGAAAGAAGACTCTGGAATCATCACCTCAGCCTTGATTCAATGTGGAACCGGTTCCCTCAGATTCCACATGCATCGGTCAAGCCTGTTCCCTTATTTTCATGCTCTTGAAGCTTTTCTTGCAAAAGATTGCAAGGATGACTTTGCGTCCAGAATAGCTCAACAGCCAAACTTGGATGTCAGGGTCCAAAACGAGCTGGGGCGGGGCGGAACGGCAAAAAATGACGACATCTACCAACGAAATAACCAGCAAAATGATTTCTTTGTGGATTCGGCCCATTTTCTTCTCAAAGTTGTGGGGGTAAGGACTGGAACCCCCTCAGCTGGAAAGGAAACTACTCTCCCCAATGCTGCATATATCATGCACCGCCTACCCCAGTTGTGCGGTTCTAACCAGACTGACAATCCTGTCTCCGCCCTTTTCCAAGACAGCCCTGCAGTGTTTTACGCGCCGCATGTTGCGCGGCCCGGTCGCCCCGCTCCTGGGTCAACCCTCATAGGCCAGTTACCAGCTGACCTTTCCAGACAGTTCTCGGTCGAGCAATATGCATGCCTTGGGACTCGTACCCAGTGTCGCTGGATAAGGAGTCCAACATCTTCCCATGGGCCATGCCGGCGAAATTCGAGGAATGGTTGACAACATCGTATTCGTTGTAATATTCGAATCACCTCAAACTTTCCGTTTAGTCACAGCAACAGTCATTTAAATGATTCCTTTTAAAACTTCAAAAGACACAGACTAGATATATTGCTGACCTTCCAGACAGCAGTGTAGTTTCCTATTCAGTTGAGCGAAGCCCCAGATCCCCCGCCCCCCCCCCCCCCCCCTTCAAACTTTGAGAAGAAAGTGGGCCGAATCCGAGGAGAAACCCATTTGCTGGAGCATAACGGGGGTGGGATGCGTCATTTTCACTACGCAGTACCCTTTTCCCCGGTCTCATTTTGCGAGACAACGCCCCTGCTAGCCTATGTTGGTTGCGGGCTTCACACACATCGTAAGACGCTTGATCTCCTTAACTGTCGTCACCCTGATTTTGACAGAACCATGTCTCCTGGGGTCGGAATCTCAGCCGACCCAAAACTGCGCTGCTCTTCTCGGAATCAGGACAGAATCAGCCCCTGGACTGTGAACCGGAGTCCGAATCGATTCCCGTAGAGCGGAGACAAGTTCAGATCTTGCTGGAAGGTAGCTCAAACTTTCAGAGAATGAAAAATCGCTGCGTATTTGGCCTACGAATACAATGTAAAAACAAAATATGCGGGAGACATATTGACGTGGTAAAACATGAGAACATAATGTTACGGACCCAATTAGCCTCGCATCCGGCCGAACAGCCTACCTGAGGTACCATACCCAGCAAGGGCCACCACCCAATGGGCCCTATGCAGGTTTATCCGCAGTTCCCCACTCCAGAAAACTTCACTGAAGAACACCACCCGGCCGACCTGAACTCAACCACCCCTCGCTTCCCTCCCCTGGCAGTCATCCGTTGGCCGGCGCTGGAAACAACAGGCCCGGGCGTTTTTACGGCCCGGCCGCGGGACAGGCCGCAGCCGCCGCGCGGCCGCGGACGGTGAGTCAACAACCCGTTACGGTCCGCCCCCACCTCCGGATTGGGGGGCTATGACCCCCGCCCCCAGCCGCGCGTGCAATGTTGCAGAACACCCGACCGACCTGCCACCTCGGTGGCACGCAGCGACACCCAGCCTTACCTGTAGCGATGGGTACAGGGGCGGCGGCGGTAGCTGCTCGTCGGCCGGGTAACCGCGCGTCTCGTCTCCCCGGTGAGTCCGCACTCGCAGCCGGGACGGTCTGGCGGCGGCCGCACGCGCAGCACCCTCCCAACAATACACCCGCAGCTGGCCCGGCCGTGTGGTACTGACGCCGCGCCAGCAGCGGCGCCCGAGGAATGTCCCACGCGCAGGCGGCGGCGTAGCCTGACATCTAGCGACAGACGTACACACTAAACTTGCGCGGCACTGCGGCCGGTGTCCTCTGCCGAAAGATAGTGATACTAGAGCTTATAGGGCTGTCCATCCATCTGAACGCGCTGCGGATAAATTTTGTTTAGGAAAAAGCGCGCAAGACACTAGCAATTGTTTGTATGATAAAGCTGACAAAAATGAAATTTTTAAGACTTAAGTACGAAGAGTAAAGTTTTTAATATCAAAAGCTTATGACGGCAAAAGTAAGCCAAAGACGGCATGGTAAAATGTGTGAAGGTTCTCGGGGCATTCTCGGACCCTCTCGTTCTCGGCTGCCCGGCTTCCCTCGTTGGCCTGAGGCGCCGGCTGCACATATATGTGAGTCTGGCACGACATCAACGCTTCCATGTGAACAAGAGAGCTGGGTTTAGTTCCAAATTCCTAAGCCTCTTTAGTTTCTGAGCTACACGTCCGCGATGATAGACTATTTCTGGAAGAGTTTTCAAGGTACAACCGTGTTTTTCCATTTTTGTTATTTTTTTCTTTTTTATTTCAATCGTCATTTTCAAGGCCTTGATATTTACATCATAAAAACGTCATTCAAATTCTGTCGATCCATAGGCCATGCGGCGATCAAGGCTAATTAAAATATAACGGCCGAGTCACTCATATCGTAGTCATTTGACTCTTAATCAATGTGCGAGGTACGATGATGTAATCAAACGATGGCGTGTGGAGGGGCATATTTACTACACAGGTAATTCGATTATCTAGAGCAGTCTTTACCACTTAAAGGTATAACAATAGTTATACATGAGTTTTTTCGGCTGTTTGCACGATTGTACGTTCTTATATACGGCATCTTACTCCCGCAGTTCTAGCTTTTGATGATGTATAAACGGGACAAAGACGGAACCGGACGCGTCAAGTGAAGTGAATCACCCTGAACGTCTTGGCACGTGCGCCTGGTGCGACGGTGATCCTGCGCAACGGCCGAGTTATTCCTGCAAGAGGCCTTCTGGACATCAACCCTGGGAGCCCCTCACCCTGTGTCCTTCACTAATATACCCTCTCTTTATAAATGCAGCGCTCTCCCCCCTCCCCCCACACACACATTTACTCCAAGCACACCCGTTCCCTAGCGCCCAGATTACCTCACTCACTCCAGGCACAAACACGGTTTGGACCCCCCCCCCCCCCCGCCCCCTCTCCGGAGCGGTGGTGGTGCAGTGGTTAGAGTATCCGTCCCTGGACCTTTCGGTCCTGGGCTCGGTTTACGAGGGGGTAGGCCACCGCTCCGTCGGCGACGCCCACCGCTCGCAGCATACTGTGATTGCTCCCGCGCCCTCGGCGGTGCCCAATCTAGTAAAGAAACGTCGCCTCCAGCGCTTCTTAACCCTCGTCTCCCGCCCGCCGGAGTAAGCTTTGCGAGCCGCCACCCAGTCGCGCCGCCCAATCGCGCCGCCCACCGGCGTCGCACCGCCCAGCCCCGCCCCCCAGCGGCGGACCGCGAGAAGGGTCCCGTATTCGTGCACACCGTTTGGTGCTGCCCTCTGCGCGGTCCGTGAGTGCCTGCGCCGGCCGGCAGGCGTCGCCCGTCTCGTTTGGAAGCATGCCGATGATCGCACGGGCGACGCCGGCTAGCACTTCCACAAACGACCGCACCCGATCTTGCGGCCTCTCGAAGGATGGTGTGGACAGCGCACCGAGCCATGATGCTCGTCTCCTGGCTGGCAGGAGAGGCTCGGCAGTTCGCCCACCACCGAGGTGACGCTCGTCTCCTGGCTGGCAGGAGAGGCCCGGCAGTTCGCCCACCACCGAGGTGACGCTCGTCTCCTGGCTGGCAGGAGAGGCTCGGCAGTTCGCCCACCACCGAGGTGACACTCGTCTCCTGGCTGGCAGGAGAGGCTCGGCAGTTCGCCCACCACCGAGGTGACGCTCGTCTCCTGGCTGGCAGGAGAGGCTCGGCAGTTCGCCCACCACCGAGGTGACACTCGTCTCCCGGCTGGCAGGAGAGGCCCGGCAGCTCGCCCACCACCGAGGTAACGCTCGTCTCCTGGCTGGCAGGAGAGGCTCGGCAGTTCGCCCACCACCGAGGTGACGCTCGTCTCCTGGCTGGCAGGAGAGGCCCGGCAGTTCGCCCACCACCGCGGTAACGCTCGTCTCCTAGCTGGCAGGAGAGGCTCGGCAGCTCGCCCACCACCGAGGTGACGCTCGTCCCCTGTCTGGCAGGAGAGGCCCGGCAGTTGCCCACCACGGAGGTGACGCTCGTCTCCTGGCTGGCAGGAGAGGCCCGGCAGTTCGCCCACCACCGCGGTAACGCTCGTCTCCTAGCTGGAAGGAGAGGCTCGGCAGCTCGCCCACCACCGAGGTGACGCTCGTCCCCTGTCTGGCAGGAGAGGCCCGGCAGTTCGCCCACCACCGAGGTGACGCTCGTCTCCTGGCTGGCAGGAGAGGCCCGGCAGTTCGCCCACCACCGAGGTGACGCTCGTCCCCTAGCTGGCAGGAGAGGCCCGGCAGTTCGCCCACCACCGCGGTAACGCTCGTCTCCTAGCTGGCAGGAGAGGCTCGGCAGCTCGCCCACCACCGAGGTGACGCTCGTCCCCTGTCTGGCAGGAGAGGCCCGGCAGTTGCCCACCACCGAGGTGACGCTCGTCTCCTGGCTGGCAGGAGAGGCCCGGCAGTTGCCCACCACCGAGGTGACGCTCGTCTCCTGGCTGGCAGGAGAGGCTCGGCAGTTCGCCCACCACCGCGGTAACGCTCGTCTCCTAGCTGGCAGGAGAGGCTCGGCAGTTCGCCCACCACCGAGGTGACGCTCGTCTCCTGGCTGGCAGGAGAGGCTCGGCAGTTCGCCCACCACCGAGGCGCGAATGCTACACTCGCCGCGCTCCTCACAATCCCGGAGCAGTTTCTAAGAGGTTTATTGTCTCATACGTCCGTCCTGAGCCCCCTTCGTTTCCGCGCTTCGTTCGCCTACATTCGCGCTGCTGTCGCGGGGTGCGGGCCGCGCCACCACGGACTTGGCTGGCGGGTCTCGATGCGTCGTTGGCCCCCTCCGGCATTGCGACATTCCCGTCGGAGGTTCTGGTCGAGACGAGTGACAGCGTGGTCCCGCGAGCCGCGTGCTGATCGCGCCCCGGCAGGCACATACACTTCGTCCCTGCTGTCCGATCAAACCATCCTTGGCCTCGCTTTAACGTTAAGTCATTAAATGACAGCCCATCATCATCATCGGCGCTGGTCGCAAGACGCCACGCAACATATCCCAGCCCCGCCATCCTCAGTTGCGGAGCCTTGAGTTCCCATGCTCCGCCGCTCGTCTGGATGCCGCAATGCCAGGCCGGGGAAATCCGGTGTCCAATAGTCTCTCTCTGATCACGCAGAAGGAAGAAAAAGGGGCTGGGGTCTGTCATGACCCGAGTCGCCCTGCGGACGGAGGGATGGGAGCCGACTCTGACAGTGCAGTCGCCCATGGTCCGGTCAGACTGAGGACGGTAGCCCGTGTCCTCCCATTGTACGAGTTGTTGTCTGGCACCTTGTTGCCCGTGATGCGGGGCGTCGAAACTGGACGGCCGCCTAGACTGGCGCCGGAGTCCTCGTCCTCCAGGTGCGGGCTCGCTTACACTCGTCACTTGCTTGCCCTTGTTTGTCCTTTCTTGCCAGGCTCTCCTCTTCCGCGACAACTTCGAACTTTGCGATTGTTGTGCAACTGGGTTAGTCCACCCTCATTTCCGAATCTTCCCATCCTCTGGCTGGAGTCAGCCCTCCGTCGAATCCGTCGCTGGGCTGGCCTGTCGTAATCGCTGTGTTCGACGCTCGGTGCGCCCTGACGAGTTGAGCGCCGCTTCGCTCGCGGCGCATGAAAGCCCGCCTCTCTCTCTTCAATGCCTCATCTCGGTCGGGTCCTGCCCGCCAGCTGTTATGGGGCCGCATCACTCCCTGGCCTAGTTCTCATGAGCTGTGGTGCTCTTGGCTTCATCTTAGATAACATCGGCGCTTTCACGGTGGGGTTGGGTGAGGGGGAGGCGGCGGTCTTCTCGCGGATGGTTCGACGCCGTGCGCTGATTAATCTCGGAGATCTAGCCGATGGTAGACGCGTCCTATTGCTGCCACCCGTACGGCTTCATGCTGGCGGATCGGTGCTCCTCGTCCCGTCCAGTTAGTGGCTGTCCCTCCGTTATTGATGGTGTTTGGGTTTGGGATGGAGGATGGGGGGTATTGCTCACCAGGTCAGCTTGCCTGCGGCTCTGGCCCCAGTGCAGGGCTCCTCCGATCGCAGACAGCAGATGAGAGCCACATTTAGATCGCAATGTTTGTCTTTATTAGTCGCGGATAAGACAGCAGTAGAAGCCTTATTCCTACAGGGAAAACCAGGAGAATGGAGATATAGATGGGTTGATATTTCGGCAACATGCATTTATCGAAACAAGAGCAGAAGTGAACTCACTTCTGCCGTTGTTTCGATAAAGACATATTGCCGAAATATCAACTCATCTATATCTCCATTCTACTAGTTTTTCTCGGAGGAATAAGGCTATCACTATTGTCTTATCTACGTGAATAGAGTTCCTCGCAAATGCACTGAACAACTTATTGGTCGCGGGAGTAACTTCGTTACGAAAGGTTCCTGTGAAAAAATGTCGCATGCCATTGTTCTTATCTGAATTTTCGTGCGCATATGTCGTTCAGAAATGAACGTCGACTTGGAAAACGTCCAAAGTGAAATAATGCGCGTGCGGGAGTATGATATAATTATGAAAATGCTCAACGCACATGCTCTTCAGGGACGCAGTTTGGTTGGCAAAGTGGACACGTGAAAGCTCACATTCAGATGTGCAACGTAAGCACAACTGCTGATTCCCATCCTTGGTGTATGACCTCTGATAAATTGTCACTGCGGGGAAAATGTTACATCCCTTCGACCGGGGCTGGCGGGTGGCTGGGGACACGGTGGATAACGGCAGTTGCCCGTATGCGATTATCATGACTGCCATATTTTGTGGCTAGCTTAGCTATGCGTGATGTTAACCTGCAGCCGGCCGGGGGTCTGAGACAACCACGACCCGCCGGGGGAAGTTGCCTCCACCCTGGGATCTCCAACCTCCAGACGCCGTATGAGAAAAACAAAAATACCGCTGGGGAAGTCTCGTCAAATCATCAAGAAGCTTCACCACATTTTTTCATCTGAAGTCAAATGTCAGATCACGGGAGGTCATGAAAGGCTAAACACGGTCGTTCTGATATATGTAACTAAAACCTATGTTAACGTGTCAAGACGACTATTGAGGCCACGGATATAAGCACTGAGACTGTGGGCAGTCCATTCGTGCCATTTATGTCCACAAAAGGGTTAGATCAGATCAGTTCACCGTTTTAAATTGGTCCACCACTACTCCACATCAACGATACTTTTCACAACGTGCTTTTGACTAAGTTTGTCTTATTGGGTGCAGCCGTGGAACAAAACTGTTTCATGCACGAAACTGTCGTTATATTCTAACCATCATCATCGTCATCTAACCGTTATCATTCGTCATCTGAAGTCAACTTAGTTCCATCTTTAAGCCATCCAAATGAAAACCTACGTGCTAACCGGTTCTATGTGACCAGTACTATATATTCTATGGTATATATCTCATATCTGTCGTCCGCATTATACACGGTACCTTCGACGCTTGGCAATGCATTTGTAACCAACCGAGACCAGGCACGTTTGTGCATGATATCAGACGTTACCAGCTTTAAAAAGACGATAAGGAGGTGGTTGAACGCGTCGCACTTGTTTATCTAGCGTCTCCGCCCCTGACAACATAGGACATTTACCTTGGATGACTTCGAATGATCTTGCATATCTTCACGGGACTTTTTGTGACATCATTATGCATAAGAATGATATTGCAATATGTTTTCAGTGGAGTATTCGGGTTCTGTGTCCAAAATCATCTAATAAAACTTCATTTTGAGCTCAGCATGTGTTTTGCAGAGGGCCACTCATAGAGGTAGGTCATGACCTTGGCCAAGCTCATGTGCCCTGGTCATATGACGGTTGTGCACGTGAGTTAGCATTCTTTTCACCAAAGCAACACAGAATACATACAGATTTGCATTATTTACGAAAAATGGCAAACGTTTACCTAACTTCAGGTCACTGACATCGCCTGATTTGAAAAATCTGACATAACAGATGGTGAGTATCATCATGTTGTATTACTATAGCAAGTTTGAGTAATGGCGAATTATCTACAAAAAAGTTACGTTTGGTAAAGTTTTTTGCAGGTTGACCTCTTTGGCCTGACCTAGGTCACTGAACTTGTTAGATCAAAATTCCAAGTTTGCATAGTGGATGCAAAATTGATAGATGAACAGGTACTGAAAGATTTTCTTTGCTACAAGCGTTCATTGCTGACCTGTTCTCGAAAAACCTTAAAGGGTAGTCAACTTCCCCGGGCTTGATACGATGGATCCAAAACAACCTCTGAGAACCACCGAAATGTAATTCACACCAATGCATGCTCAACCGGAAGCTGAGGGGTCAAAATCAGGCCAAAGGTGACCGACGATGGAAACTCACGGGTGCACGTCCCGCCCTCCTTGTCATATGCCACGTAATAATATGTACGTGACTGAGTGTCAAAAGTTAACAATACAGGGTATATACTGAAAATATGAAGATGGAGAATATGTGATGGTGTTTTACGGCACGGAAGAATTGCACATTGATGCTGCTCGATAAGCTATGTTTGAGGAAAAAATAAATTCGTGTTCCTTGCCCCTATCGTGTAATGCCGCGTACTGCTAGGTCATATCCAAATATGACAATAGAGAACGTCATTACTGACTACTCAATGCGACATCTCTGAGCGTACATCGTGCATCTTCATACGAACTTCTGCGTTCTTATTTTTGTCAACCGAATATTATCCCTAAAGCACATGCGTCCACGTAGTCGTGCGTGCTTACATCACACGAAATTTTACGTCCGTTTTTTTGTCAAACGAACTTTCAAACGAACTCGAACGAACTTGTTTCTGGCGAACAAGAGCGTGCACACATGCTTGTTCGGACAAATGCATAGACCTTTTCCCATACGCAAGGGTTATCTTATGCTGTGCAAATTCGTTAGGTCAGGTTAGGTCAGGTTAGGTCAGGCAAACTTATGTTCGGTTGCGTTTTAAAAGTCAGATTTTGGTAAGGAGCCTTGCATGCTCTCGATCCTCAATTGCCCGAGGCTACAAATAACTCTTACACCTTACGTCGGATACAATGACAGTCCAATCGAGTCACAGTTGTGTTTTACGTCTAGGATGTAGTCGCGGAGGCCAACTGATGGAGAAATATGACGGGTGGTCGTGCATGATGCGTGGTCAGGTGGACGACCGGTTCTCGAACGCTCCTCACAGGAATATTATCCATGCGAGCTTATGTTATCATACGTGATACCATTAATTCTTACAAATCTTTGCTCACAAAATCTTAACAAATGGGCTTAGTTCTTTACGATTTTTTGCGCTCGTGGCGTTGCTCACGACCAGTTGCGTACCTACATGTCTGCCTGCGAATTCGCTCCATATGTGGTATGAGCATTGCTCTAGACGGCCTTAACATGGTCACATACAACATGACTGCGATTTAATGGAATATTTAGACCTCAGGAGTTGTATTGGTTCTACACTGGGCACAAAGCATTAGCCAATCATTAGCTTCAGAAAATCCGAATTTATTGCTGGTGTCCCCGCCTCGCAGCCCAGCAAAGACCATCGTTGGAAAGCAACAGAGCTGATGCCACTGCAGGTTTATTGTACACACAGACAGACGCACACGCATACACGAAGTGAACACACACAATACCCGCATTTACGAAGAATGCACTTATCATGCATATAATACCTACTCGGTGATATGTGACGAAAAAAAAACTGTTCGAATAGCCGGTTGTGACGCGCCTTTCTCTTGATCCACGGTCCACGGCTCGGACAGCGTCTTGAGACCGTTCCTGATGTTGCACTGATGCTGTCGCCTGCTGGTCGATGCGGTCCGGGGTTGTTCGGCCGACCTCTGGTGGCGACGCTCGTGCTCTTGTATAGGCTCCAGCGAGTCCCGCGGGGTACGAGCTGGCGCGCAGCCTGTACTCCGCGGGTCGCGGACAGGGCGAGCAGAACCCGCACCTGTGTTCTGAACCTGAGTAATTTAGTAATGATATTATGATTTACACTGTCGAAAAGAATAAGGCTTAATGCCTTACTCGCGTTCTGAGAAATAAGGATTAGTCTCTGTTAAGAACTAAATGGTCTTTGCTACAGTAAACCTATATAGCGTTGACATGAAAACGGAGCCTAATGTAGTCAGAACGATGAACAGCAGTTGGTTTCGGAAAAAAAACAGATTTACTGTATGAAGTCACAGAGCGACTTCAGCATTCAAAAATAAAGTGATTGTTAGTATTTTTTGTTTTGGATTATGTGAACTGTATTATTGGAGCTGAGACATATTATGGTTGCTGAGGCACAAAGAAATAAATTGCATGCATCTTTGTAGGTGTGTGATTTAGAATACGCTTTCATTACGTAAGTACTGGATGTTGATAATTGCGTTTCTTTTTAAACGTGGTTCATACCTCATCACAGCAGGCGAGGTCGCACCGATTAACGTATGATATCGGTTGGCGTCAGTATAGCGCCAGATTCTTCTAAACTACTCTTCCCTGTTGTTGTCTTCCCACGCTTCCGAACGCGGGAAATTGCAAATTAACATGACCACTGTGTGATTTCTTTGAGTGCAAAGCATTTCAAATCCATGCTCTAGCATGCGCTTGTGCTATAATTACTAATTTCCAGCACCTACGGTTCCCGATTTTTCAACTGTTCTGTTCAGACCTCACACATGAAGGTGCCTTGCTGATGTTAGGTGTATTCACGAATAGAAAATCCTTTACGCGTTTAAGAAGACCATGAAAAATTTATTATAAGATATTTGTGACATGAATGTAAATCATCTTTATCAGCTGTTTCAGTAGCTACTCTCTAGGAATTGGAAGTCAGTTGTTATCATTACGTGTTGCTCTATGAGATGCAGCTGTGCTTGTCGGGTCAGGTGCCTCGGTCTGTTTTTTCCAGAATTCATGACTTTGTTGCAAACATAAATGAGTCGATCTGTTTTGTATTGTTGTTCGCCTTTCTGTACAGCGTCTAGCACATTCCTCATTAAAGCAAACATCTAGTTTCGTATTGGCTGCACCGACATATCATAAACCTATCAGGTTTCCTTGCATCACCGCGCTGTCTTTCTAAACCACCGCGACGCACACTAACAAACTGCGCAGCAGTGAAGCCATAACCCCATCTGCAATCACTGACAAGCACCGCGCGAAAGCAGCAAGGAGAGAAAGCTGGACGAGGCAGTTTGACTTGATAATCAATATCACGCAGAAATAACACCATTGCATATAAACATGTCTGGGAGCATTAAAAACAGCGGCAGTCAAATCCAGACAACCAACTAGACGGTGGTAGATCAACAGGCTGCTCCCGCCGCCGACGTTCACACTCACAGGAGAATGCTGCCTGTACTACTAGCGAAGCACGGCTCCAACCTGCACCCAGCGTGGCCGTATCTCTGACAAGAAGCTCCACTGTCCATGTTGTGAGCTCCCGCAGGGTCCCGGCTCACCCGCCGCTCCAGCGTCTCCCAATGACACTGAACGTGCCGCCCGGCCGCATTGAGTCCGGTCTTCCCCTTCCACTTCACCTGGCGTCGCGACGCTACCCCAGCGCCGGCATCTGCACCGTTGACGTCACGTACGAGGTGAGCACGGTGGGGAAGACGCTGGTGGACGTGATGTAGGCGGTGGAGGGCGAGGCGCGGAACGTCACCACCACGGCGCGCGAGTGCGTGCTCGTCACGACCGTCGTGACGAACACTGGCGATGAGGTGACCATAGCGCGCGGCTGCGGCTGCACAGCCGCCGCCGCCAGCGGCTGCTGCTGCCCGAGCATCGCCAGCAGCTGCATGTAGGCCAGTTGCTGGGGCGACAGCCGCGTCAGCTGTGCCAGCGCGCCCAGCTGGCCGAGCTGCGGCAGCGCTGGCGTCGCCGCCGCCGGAGCCGCCGTCGCCGCCGCCTGCAGTCCGAAGTGTTCCGGGCTCTCTTGTTCCTCCAGCCGGTCAGCGTCGAAAAGTCCGATGTCGGCGAGGTCATCAGGCGGCGGCACGCGCAGTACGGGCACGCCGAGCGCGTCCACCTGGTTCTCGGACGACTGAGCGAGCAGCGGCCGGTCGCGGTCCACCAGGCCCGGCGGCGCCGCCGTGCGGAACACCTCCATCGGCGGCATGGTCTTCAGCGCCGTCACCAGCCGCGTCACCTGGTACGACTGCGTGATGGTGAAGGCCTGCGTGTTGTCGCCGATCACCAGCGGGATCACTGACGACTTAAGCACCAGCTGCGTCGTGCTGTACGTCTCGGTCATGGTGCGCAGCGGCAGGCTGGGCGCGCTCGGGTCCAGCTGCACCGCCGGCAGCATCACTGCGTCGCCGTGCTTCTCCGCTGGCGTCGCTGGAGCACCGGCCAAACTCAGCGGCAGTGCCGTGGCCGCGATCCGCGGTGTCGTCCGCGTCGGCGCCGTCGGTTGCACGTGCACCGTGCGCGTCCTGGTGGCGGTCAGCCACTTGCTGTTGGTGTGGCGGCCGATGGTGATGGGGTGCATCGTCTTCAGCGTCGTCAGCTCGTAGTAGTAGTCGCTGGCGTCCTGCGGACGGTACGTGTTGACCGCGATGATGCGCAGCTCGTCGCTCTCGATCGGTGCGGACGGGTCGATGGTGGGGGCCGTTGTCGGCGCGATCGGCGTGTCCGGCGTATCCGGGGAAGCGGGAGCGGGCTCCTCGCCGCGCTGCTGCAGGAGTCGCTGCTTGAGTCGCTCGGCCGCCGACAGACGGCGCTGTGGAGCGGACGAACCGTCAGAGACGCGGGCGGAACGCGTCAGAGACGCCGGGCGGAACATGTCAGAGACGCAGGGCAGCTCACGTCAGAGACGCAGGGTGCGACAGTCAAGAGTCACAGGGCGAGACGCGTCAGAGACGTCGGGCGAGACAGTCAGAGACGCAGGGCGGGACAGTCAGGGACGCAGGGATGGACAGTCAGAGTCGCAGGACGAGACACGTCAGAGACGCCGGGTGGAATATGTCAGAGACGCAGGGCAAGACACGTCAGATAACTCACAACAGGACATATGCAAGTTTATTAGCGGCAGGGACAGCAGCAGAGGACGGAACATGATGTGTATCATGAAATTAGAAGCACGTCTTCTGCATGATCGAGCTTAGAATCGAACAGCTAATGACCACAAGCTTCCCCACCGCGAGTGAATGCCATCGATGGCGCAAACGTAGTCACAAATAATATAAGACCCATACAATATTGCCAGACAAAAACATCTACGCGAGGCCACTCACGCTGTTGTTCTGGCGAGTCGAGAAGGAGCGGCGTGGCAGTAGCGGTATTTCGGGCCGGAACGGACGCGCCGCGCGCGCCCTCTGTCCCGGCTCGTACCCGAGCGTGAAGGGCCGCCGCTCGGGTGCTGCCACCTCGCGAGAGGGTCGCACGTCCAGCGCCGCCTGCATGCGCGCCTTGAGGCGCTCCTGCAGCGAGGAGACGTGGTTGGCGGCCGGCGCCGGCTCGTCAGTGAGCTGAACAGCCGCTCGAGGGGCAGCAACCTCGGGCTCGGCGACCGGCGCCGGCAGCTGCGGGAACTCCGTGGCGGCACCCTCGATGATGGACGAGGCGCGCGTGACGGTCGGCGAGACGGGCGGCGCCGCGAAGATGACGCTGCTCGACTGCAGCAGCTGCGTGTACTCGCCGTCGACCATGGTGCCGATCACGCTGGTCGTGTGCACGGTGGTGAGGTCGCCCGACACCACGGTGCCGCCGCTGGCCGTCACCAGTCCCACCACCGAGGTCCGCAGGCCCACCACCGACGTCTGCAGTGCCGCCGGCGCCGTGTCGGGCACGACGCTGGCCGGGCTGGCAGACAGGAACTCGCGACGCAGCGGCGCAGAGGCGGGCGCGCGCGGCGCCGCCGGCAGCGCCGGTGTGGGCGTGCGCGCCGGGCCGCGCCGCCGCTGCGGCAGGATGAACGGACGCCGGTCGGTTGGCGAGCGAGTCCCGCAGCTTGGCCCACAGCAGGTTCTTGTCGGCCGCGCCGGGTGGGGGGCGTCGGGGAGGGCGTCGGCTCGACGGAGGGTGCCGGTGCCGCGGAGGGGGCCGGCTGGTGAGGCTTCGCCACCGTGGCGGAGGTGGAGACGATGCGTGGCACCGTGCGCTGACGGCGACGGACCGCGCGCGGCCGGCGACGCCGGCTTGGTGGTAAGGGCCACAGCCTCCTCAGCGCCTGCCGATGAAAACGTTTGGTTGCTGCACCCTGTGCTCGTTTTTAATCTTACGCCAATTGCTGTTAAGTTTTGTATGACGGCTGCGGCCATTGCTATTCAGTTCGGCCATATCGACCATGTGCTCGCCGTCTGCACGATGACGTGCACCCAAACGCCTGTTGCGTGAAAATATGCAATCGTATCTGTCTGACTCTGCTCACAACTAGATAATTTACGTGTCACCCTGGTGTTGGCAGGAAAACATGGGTTTTGCAATCGCGCAAAGCCATCCTTTCACCGCCCGCTAGAAAAAGCGTCCCATTGCACGTCACAGCTCACTCGTTGTTTCCTCAGACATAATGCCATGCCAAACTGGCCTCTAACTACTTAAACGCCACGATTTTCTGTCATTAACTCCAGACGTCTCCAGCGCACAGTAGTTTCGGTAGGGCCGTGCAGAGGTGTCCCCCACAAACCTTGCGTTTTGGCGCCGGGCGTGAAGACCATGACGGTGTCGCCAACGGTGGTGATGAAGTCGAGGAAGCCGTAGATGGTTTTGGTGGAGAGATCGCCGGCACCGGCGTCCACTACCAGTCGGCTGACCGGCTCCAGCGGCTCCGAGGAGATGGTGAGCTTCGTCCGGGTCACGGTCGGGGTCGCTGTCGGGTCACACGAGGTCAGAGGTCAATTGCCGGTCAGCGGAACCCTTGGAGGTCAGGGTCACGCGCGTCGAGCTTCTGTGTAGTGAAACTGGTTGTTTGATTGGGATATTACCGGTGATGACAGCATTGCTTCATGGTAAGTGAATTTGTGTACGCCAATGCTAATAAGCCTTTGTTTCACCCTTGTCCTGATTGGCGGGTGCCATTGGCCTTTCTCTTCGTCACTGGTATTTTGGTAGGAAAAGGCTGTCACGATCATCAAAAACGTAAATATAGTCGAAAATTGACACATTGAAGGAAGTGTCCCTACATTTCGGGACCCCCAATGTTCAGGTCGAAAATTGACAACATTGAAGGAAGTGTCCCTACATTTCGGGGACCCCAATAAATGACCATTTGGTCGTCAGTTTGTCCAGCGCGGCGAGTTTCGCTTCCCCGGCTGTTTTACAGACAAGTTTTGCCGGCTGTCACCGCAACTGTTCTTGGTCTCACCCCCCCCCCCTCTCTCTCTCTCTCTCTCTCTCTCTCTCTTCTCTCTCTCTCTCTCTCTCTCTCCTCTCTCTCTCTCTCTCTCTCTCTCTCTCTCTCTCTCTCTCTCTCTCTTGAACAGATGCGCTCACCATCCAGCCCAGTGAATGTGAAACGGACACAATACCGGTCAGCGATCGGTTTAACGCACTCGTCTGAGGCGCTGGGCGTTGTGAGCTGACTCGGCCAGCAAGAAAAGCGGAACAATTGGCGGCGGCACGATCCCCGTCAGGCAGCCTCTTCCGGAATGTTTCGCCAGTGGTTTCAATCACTGACAGTAATTTCAGGCAATTTAGGTCTTTCAAAAGCGCAACGGGACGCTTCTGGCCGCTCTCAAAGACGCCTGTAATATTCAGTTAGGCTGCATTTAGCCCATCCCATGTGTTGAAAACGAGTGCCATGTTTTTTTCTGAAGATGACAAGCATGAGCGATCAACAAATGGTGTTGATGGTACAAACGCTACAGATCTTTAAAATCTTTAAAAAGACTAATGGAGGCCTGTCAAAGCCCACAGGTATGTTTAGTGATTCAGACAAAAAATATGATTTCTGAAAGCAGCTTCACAATTTCAACCCATGTAGGAATTGACAAAATTGTTGTTTGTACGCCATAAGCCTGGGTTCGTTACGTTGAAACGCTGGTCTTTAAACGCCACGCTTCAATGGACACAGGTCACGCGGGACCGTCCCCTAAGTGGGCGATCAAGCCAAATCTAACCGAAATGGCATTGGCGTAAAATATGAACGGTTGGCTAAAAGAACGCGGCGTAAAAAGGGGAGACGGATGGCCAACAGAATATGCATCGAAATCCCGCGAGACTGAAGACGAAACCCTTCGGTTGCCATGAAACGTCCCTTTGGCCTACTTGCCTTTGAACGCAAGATCCGGCCCAGGTGCGAGCCATCAGATTAACACGCCACCGCACCCTCCCACATCACCGCACCCTCACACATCACCGTCGGCCGCTCCGCCGGACGTGAGCAAGACTCTGGGCGTGCGGACCCGCATCACGCCATATTGACACGCAATACGCACCGAGGCTCACCAAACGCAGCCAATACGTGCGCAGCTGAGTAGCCGATGGTGCTCAGGTGCAAATCAGCAGTGGCTCAGGGTAGGTGCAGCGTTGTAATTTAGCTGTGATCGACGGGAGTCTGGTTCTGCTTACTAGCCCCCGCCCCCCCCCCCCCCCCCCCCTCCACACACTTTATGGATTGCAGGGGCGCTTTTCTCTATGTCCAGCGAAACACAACACCACAAATGAACAAAAGGCAAGCAAACAAGCTGCGTGCGACGCGTGATACCTACCCTGCACACCGTTACGAGTTATGGCAAACATATACATAAGCAGTTTATGCTGTCAGACCCGTCAGGGTTCTACTCCGAGCGTGTGCTGTATGGCGTCCGTAAACACGTCTCGCACAAGGTGAAAATGACAGCTTTTGAAACTGGTGTGCCTGATATGATAAGCTGATCAACAGCAAATTAGGCGAAGAAATCGAGACAGCAAACATGGTAATATCTAGCCAGATACTTCTGCCACATTCGTGGCCACATTGGATGCGGATGTAACATATAACATATCTTTTATGTAATTGATTCGGATGTAAGCTTGGTTGCATTCGAAACGTCGAGATATTAAGATCAAAGTCAGCAGAGGGCGGACCGTCATTCATGTCGTAATGACACGAAGAGTTTAGGTAGCGCAGGATGCTCGAAACAACAAGGGCAATTCGTCGCAACTGAGTTTTAACTGGATAACAAACGTCGCAATCGCGCTCTGTTTGAATTTATGTCTGCATCGATGTACTCGCAACACAAACGTCTTGAGTGATAAGTCGCACTGGCTCATTTCCATAGACATCACCTTTTACGAAATGGAGGGCAGGACTTACCACTGACGGGCTCGAAGTGATCTGGGCCAATAACCAGCGTATTCAGCTTAGCAACAGCCTTCGGCGCTCGAGCGTCTGAAACAATCACACGTCGTTAGTGTTGAATTTGTACCATTATGACGCTCATCAAGCATCATTTCTGACACAGCAGCATCCGATGGTCGGGTTAGTAGCCTTAAACACCGTCTGAAAACTGCGGCAAACATTCCTTGGTATTTCTAACGTTATGCTTAACGTAGCCAGCCTTTGTGTGAAGTGGCAAACACTTCATACAAAGGCCAATCGAGTGTATGTATTCAATGTGTCCAATGTGTGACACTATGCAGCTTGCTGGTTTCGCAACCTTTGACGATCTGGCCGGCTTGAGAAAATCCTCTCAGTTTCATTTTGCCGTCCTACCCACGTTTAGGCTTGTTTCTTCAGCAATTTGTCTTTCAATAAGCAACAATCCTAAGTTCAATATTAGAATCTACGACACAAATGCTTTCAATGATTGCATTGCCAAGTTCATCAAGGTCTTGTCAGAATTAAGCTCTGTCGTGCATTTGTTCTTGGCTTTGAGAACCTCATGCAAGATTGTTTGCGTGTATTTGTGTCGTAAATTGTACTTTTTCTGTGTTTTTATTTAGTGTCGTAGATTGTAGTTGCAAGTTGCGTATTTTTGCTTTGAGAAACTAAATTATACGATTATACGCTAAACATGTACGATTTACGCAACAAATCTACGAATTTCTGTTTTGAGAAACTGGCTTCTGGTGTTCTAAATGACCTAATAAGGGGCATTGCCATCAGTTGCATGATGTTTCTGTTATACGGCCAACTCATAGTATATTTCATGGTCACGTTGGTGCAGCATGGTCCCATTCGTCACGTTAGTGCAAACGGCCCTCTCATCAGGGCTCAATTAGTGGAGCTGCTCCTCAACATAACTAAATATCGATGCATGGTGCGATGTCCCAATAATACTATAGCACTATCATTTACTGACTGGGGGGAGGGGGGTGGGGGGGTAAACTTGACGTCATCGCTACCCGCTATGAAATTTACCTCAGGGGACCTTACACTTAAGTATCTACGTCTTATCTGATCGCAACCGATGGTCTGATAATGATGTCACTCGCTTGACATGTGGTGTATCTTGGTCAACAATGACACGTCAGCCATACTTGGTGTGTTGTGGCCTTGCCCGGAACTCGCAGCGCTATCTGGGCTTGATGGCCTGTTATGAAAGTTAACGCTTATAGAAAATATATCTAGCGTCAGCACGACTACAGACACCTCTTACATTTGCTTGTCTGCACTGCATTTGACGGAGAGGCTCCATGTTTGTTTGGGTTTTGTCGTTGCTAAATTTACCTCGTTTGTTGTCATGTAGCACTGGTAGAGTGACGCTCAGATCCCAAATAACAGCAACCTCACGTGCACTCACGCTATGCATAAACTTCTCTCTTTTGCAATTTCACATTGGACTTAATCCATTGGATGCAGTGTCATATCCACCACCTCCCGTGAGAAAACAGAAGCGAAAACATCTCTTGCGCAACTCTGGCTGGTTTCCGTTAGCGCCTGTCGCATGGGGCGTGGCCGGCAGCGGGTCTCCGGCTCCACGCATCATCACCGCTCCATGGTCCCTTCAGCCTCTGCGCGTGCATCAGACCGGCTCGGCGTGTGCGGTTTCTGTCTCCCAGGACTCGCACCTGCGACGCCGCCGCCGCAGCCGGTCCCCACACCCTCCTCACGACGTCTCAGCCTCGATATTTCCGGCCGGTCGCTCTCCCGCGCACCGCCCCCCCCCCCCCCCCCCCCTCTCCCGGCTGCCGTGCCCGACCGAAGGTGTGGCGGTGGTACCCTCCTCGGGCTGACCAAGCTCGGCCTGTCCATTGTGGGGACGCCGCCGCCAAGGCTGACGGGCCGCTGACCCGCGCCCTACGCCGCCGCTTGTTTGCTAACACAATGGCGGGCGGCTGATGGGTCCTCCCTGGCGTTGCTGATGAGCCATTGAATGCCGTAGACATCCGCGGGAATTTGGCAGGAAATTGCCGCGTCAGCTCCGACAATCACGAAGAGGCAAAGCTGCCGTCGTGCCTCCTCCACCTTCACGGCAAGCGTGGGCTCGGGCTGCCGGCACGGAGTCCGGAGCAGGCAAGGGCGTCTGCTGTCTGGACCGGCCGAGCAAAAAACGGGCCGCGCAAACCACGACACCTCGGGCGCGTGAGCCCTGCCCACGCCCTCATAGCCAAGCAGAACGCTCTCGTCTTGTCCGTCTTCTTTTTGTCTCGAGAGCGCCGTCGCCAGATGGCCGGATACCGCAAGCAAAACAGCCGGTGTGATGCCTCATCTGTTGATCGTGTAACGGTGCCCAGCAGCAGCAACAACATTACGGTTCTCATGCTGTTTGCGCACGCGCCTCGATCGCCGCTTCGTTCGCTCGCGTGCGCCACCTCACGCGCCATGTTGATGCAGGTTTGTGGCTCCTCCACCCGGTGCGAAAACGAATGGTGGCAGCCTAACACAGCGTTACGTGTGTTTGTGCGGGCTTAAAAAGGGCCCTGTGCCCGATTGTTTTCATGCCAGAGGCTGCTGCTTATCAGAGCGAGGTGGGCGAAGTGGGTATGCATGCTGTTTAGATATCAGACCTTGCCCGCAATTAGACGTGTCTTAGATAGGATCATTCGAAGAGTAAAGTCTGGAAGTTGTTCAGGCATTGTGTGCATTTATCATGGGCGTTATTGATTGAGGTAGGCCGAATTTTAGCTACGAGCGAGCGTTGGAAACAGGACTGTCACGTCGTCACTTGGGATATCTCTGGAGACCTGGCGTCCCTCCCTCCTTCCGGATGGAGGGGGCCGGGCAGGGATGTAGTTTCCTATTCAGTCGAGGTGCTCCAGCCCATCCCCCCCCCCCCAGCTTTGAGAAGGAGGTGAATCAAATCTGAGAAGAAAAACAACTTTTTGGTAAAATTTCGTGGGAAGATTTTGTCATTTTTCGCTGCGCAGCCTCTCTCACAAACTTGTTTTAGGACACTGCACCCCTGGAGCTGGATCATCTCCGTGTTGGTGGCTGCTGAGTAGTCTCTGTGGGAAAGGCGAAAGAGCATGCAACTGTTTCGACCATGCATGCGCGTATCACATCGACACTATCACTTTACTTTACCTCGACATTCGTTGTGTCCCAATTCCAGCCACCAAGCGTCGCACCAACAGTTATGTGAACGCGACTGACATTGGGCCAGCACGTTTTAGCACCACCGATCAGGCTACATAACAGACACGAGCCATGACCCTGAGCCCATTTAGGGAATACTTTTTTTTGCCAATCGCCGTAGTCACCAACTGTCCCAGCCATTCAAACTCGTACCGGCCTAAAACAGCGAGCCGTGTCTCGCCGGGTTGAGGGGCGAGGCCGGCAGCTAAGACTCTCAAAACCCCGCACCTGGCCGCACCTCGACCGCGAGACTGTCAAAGTAGGCGCCAGCGGGCGGCGGGGAAGGCGATAACGCCACCTGCGAGGGGTCTAGATCCGCATGTGTCGACATCCGCGCAGAGCTAGTATATCAATGATTGATCTTTGACTCACGACCCCGTCCACCTGTGTGGAATCATTTACGTAAACTTCTTTCAGCCACCTGCCAACGATTCGCTGCCGGCTGACGCAGTTGCGTCAAATATGGGGGTTGCAGGCACACCACGCCCCTGTAAGACGCCTCAGCCCGGCACCAGGCTCCGCCCCAATCGCAGCTAATAAGGATGAGCGATCACCCAAGAGTGAATCACCTCTAAAATTGGTGATCTCATCGTTCATTTCCGCCTCAGCTGGTACGATGGCGCAAGTAGGCAGCACTGGAATGGCGTTACACTCCCGGTGGTATGTATAACCCCTGCTCCCCCACCCCCCCCCCCCCCGCTAAAGCGGAATTAGACGGCGGCGCTCGTGCCGTGGCCGCCCCCCCCCACGTCCGGCGTGCCTGCGGCACCGCCTGACCTTGTGACCACGCCCTGTGTCGGGTCAGGGCGGCCGATGACCTTAGCGCAGGCCCACAAAAGTCAGCGGCGCGCGAATGGCCTGTGGCAGCAAGGTCATCGCGCGGCCGCCCCCGTCGCGTCCGGCCATTTGACCCCAGCAGTCGCCTGTTTCGCCACTTTATGGACCGGCGCGACACGCGAATCACTCCCCCCCCCCCCCCCCCCCCCTCCCTCCCACCTACACGCCCTCTCGGCTCCCGGTCGCACATGACACGGTTCTAGGTGGACGGGTATTCCAGAGCGGAACGTTCATTATGCGGTGGTTGTCGGCTGGTGTGTTTTGTGAGGGACTCGAAGTTGCGGCGGGGACAGCGTGAGAACGGCACGACGGCCTTAAAATTGAGCCTCACGATCCTGTGGAGCGGCTGTTCTGGCTGTTTACTTAGCCTTGTCTGAACGAAGGGAAAGGACCGTGGCCGGCTGGGCGTCTAAAAAAACGTTCGATATAGAAAACTCGGTCAGCCGGTAATAAGAGCACGTTGTTGTGGCATAAAAAGGCAGGATACCATGTGGTGGGTTGTCTGGTGAGAACCTCAAGGGTAAAACTTCCCACCCCATTCCGACTTTTACGGTCTGCCACACATCAGCCCAGGGTCACAGCATCTGAGGCTGACAATCGTACATAACCGCACAATGGACTAAATGAGGCTGTGTGGTGTGCAGCATATGCCACAATGAGACAAATAAATCCTGCCTGCTAAGTGGCTGCTTCTTTTCGGTGCATAATCACGAGGATCAAATTACACCACTTAACGAGATACAATCTGTCTCATATAACATAGTAGATAGCATAAGACGTCCTCTATCGCCGTCCAAGAGAACACCTATCGGCATTTCAATGGTGTCTCCCTTCCTCCGCTGCTCTCTTTCGCGGACTGCAGCTGCAGACACAATAGTAGGGTCCTCAACTTTCGTAATTATGCTCCTCACACTCCAAACAGCAAATACAATTTGAGCAAATACCAGAAAAGCCAACCCTCTGACTAGTCATTCGGTCTCGCCATCTAAGGCTTGGTCAGCTCCTTTAGCCGATTTAGAAGCACTCCATTACTG